GGGTCCCTCCATGTGTACTCTTTGGTAGGTGGTTTAGTCCCTGGAAGCTCTGGGTGGTCTGGTTAATTGATATTGTTCTTCATATGGGGTTGCAATCCCCTTCAGCTCCTTCAGTCTTTCCCCTAGCTCTTCCATTGGGGTCCCAGTGGGTTTGTTATACACAGCATTTATCTATTTCTAGGATATCCATCACTAAGGTGTGTTGGATTTTGTCAAAGGTCTTTTCTGATTCTATGGTGGGCATTTGGTATTTCTCCCCTTGGTATGATTTATTACATTTATTGATCTCTGTAGGTGGGGCCATCCGCACATCTCTATGATTAAGCCAACTTGATCGTAGTTGATCTCTTTTCGGCTTAACTTCTGTAGTTCGGATGAACCCAGAAATTCATTCATTTCTTGATGTGTTTTCTAACCTTTAATGGATTCTCTCATAGTATTTTGAATTTCTTTGTTGTCTGATACAATGTTCACCAGCTCGTTTCTGATACTATTCATTTGGGTCCTCTCCCTCTTTTAGCTAGTTGGGGAAGGGTCTCTCAATCTTGTTTATCTTCTCAAAGAACCAACTCCTAAATTCGTTGATTCTTTGTACTGTTTTCTTTCTTTCTATTTTATTGATTTCCGCTCTGATTTTTATTATATGGTCCATCTCCTGGATTTGGGTGTGGTTTGTTCCCATCTTTCCAGATTCTTCAGCTCCATCATTTACTCATGCTCTTTCTGATTTTTTTTTTTTTAACATAAGCACTTAGAGGTAAAACCTTCCCTCCTGAGACCATTTTTGATGTGCCTCAGACGCTTCATTGTGGCCTTCGATCTCGTTTGATTCTGTGATTTTTTTAATTTTCTTTCTCGATTTCTTCTTCAACCCCGCTAATCACTCATTAATGCGTTGTTTAATCTCCATGAGTTTTCACAGTACGAGAGAGTTATTTGTTGTCGACGTCATAGCACTGTGGTCAGAGTACGCAGATTATTTCCATTTTCCCTCTATTTGTAAGGATCTTGTTTTCTATTCCGGGATGTGGTGTCCGTTAGAGAAGCTTCCATTGCCCGATAAATGAACATATGTTCTTTGGGGTTTCGGTGGAACACTACTCTGTAGATAACAGTTAGCTTCGTACAATGTATGATGTCACTGCATGCTGATGTTTCTCTGTATATTTTTTGTTGTTGTTCAGATAACCTGCCTATTGAAGAGAGTCGGGTATTAATTACTGAGTTGGAGTGAACCTGTGTCTTTAAGTCCAATAGTAGTCCTTTTGTGAAATTAAATGTGTATATGTTTAGGATTGTAATGTCCTTTTGGTTAATTCTCCTTAACAAAACAAAGCATCCTTCTCTACCTAATCTGGTTTATTTTAGACTGAATCCTATTTCATAAGATGGCAGCATTTGCTTATTTCCCTGGTGTTAGCATTCTGTCTGAACTCCACCTCCACAGTTACCTGGTATCAGCCAGGTATGCTCCTCCCCACAGTTACCTGGCAACAGCCAGGTAGGCCTGGCCCTCTATAAAAGGGGCTGCTTGCCCCCTCATCTCTCTCTCTTGATCTCTTGCTCTCTCTTGCCTCTTGCTTCTTTCTGTCCCCTCACCCCTTTTCCCCTCCCCCCACTCTTTCCATGTGCTCATGGCTGGCCTCTACTTCTCTACTCTTTTCTCTCTTCTCTTTCTTCTTCCTCTTCTTTCCCTCCCCCCCATCTTTGCCCTATCTCCTGAATAAACCCCACTTGGAACCGTTTGGTCTGGTGCAGTCTGTTCTAAGACATATATCACCTGGTACCATTTGCTTGGAGTAATTTTTTTTTTTTACCCTTACACTTTAAGGTGGTTCTTACCTTTGAAGGCAAGTTGGGTTTCTTGTAGATGTATTTGTTTCCTAATTCACTTGGGCGGCCTGTGCCTTTTGATTAGAGAGTTGAGGCCATTAGCATTTAAAGTTATTATTGAAATGTATATGGTGCTGGGTGTGGAGGCACCTTTAATCCTATTACTCTGGAGGCAGAGACAGACAGACCTTTGTGAGTTTGAGGCCAGCTAGGGCTACATAGTTGGAGAGAGAGGGGGGATAAAAGAATGGTATGTGTTGAAGTGTTGATCCTGCCTCTGCTTGTGTGTACGTGTGTGTGCATGTGTATGTGTGAGTATGTGTGTGAGTATTGTGTGTGTGTGCAAGTGTGTGTCTTTCTGTGTATGTGAGTGTATGTACATGTATGTGAGTATGTGTGAGTGTGTGTTCATGTGTGTGAGTGTGTGTATTCATGTGTGTATGTGAATGTGTGAGTGTGTGTCAGTATGTTTGTGAGTATGTTGTATGTGTGAGTGTGAGTATTGTATGTAAGTGTTTGTGTGTCTTTCTGTGTGTGTGAGTGTATGTGTGTGTGAGAGTGTGTGTGTGCTCTTAGTCCTATTTTATATTTCAATAATTATACTTTTATTTCTTTTCTATACTGTCTTGGCTATGTTTACTTCTCTGTTAGATCTAAATAATTACTTCCACTCTTCACTGTAGAGGTTGGTTCAGTGGACGTGAGTTATTTTTGCCTGTTCCTATCATTTTGGAAAGCTTTTTTTCTTTTCTCCTTCAGCTGTCAAATGGCTTTGCTAGATATAGTAGCCTAGGTTGGCATCTGCAATCTTTGAGAACTTGAAGTACCAGGGCATTCTGGCTTTTAATGTTCCCGTTGAGGAATCAGCTGTTATTCTGGGTTTCCCTTTATATGTGACTTGTGATTTCCCTCTTGCAGTTTCCAGTACCCTCTCTGTGTTTTGTATTTTTAGTGCTGTGCTATGGAGAGTTTCTTTTCTGGTTCCATCTCTTTGATGTTCTCTGTGTCTCTTGTATCTGTATGGAAGTATCTTTCCTTAGTTTGGGGAAGTTTTCTTCTGTGATGTAGTTAAAGATGTCATCTGTGTCATTGTTCTGGAATTCTCCTTCATCTATGCCTATAATTCCAAGATTTTGTGCTTTCCCAGTGTCTTGAATTTCCTTCATAATTCTTTTGAGTGTTTTTAAATTTGTAAATATTTTGTGCCTGTCTCCTATCTCTACTTTATCTTCCAGTCCTGATATTCTTTCTGATTGTTCCATTCCACCTATAAGTCTCTCTGTTGCGCCTCTAATTAGGTTACTGGGTTTTTCAAATACATCCTTACTTTGGTTTGAGCTCTCTTCAGTATTTCTGTCTCTTTATTTGATTTGAGTTTTAAATCCTAAATTGTTTTCATCATCATTCATTGTGCTTTCCCCAGGCTATCACATTATTCATTTCTCATCTCTAAATTCATTGAGCTGTTTGCTTTGTCTAAATCCTTTGCGATCTTTGATGAATTTCATAATCGTTCTTGTAAATTCTATGTCCTAGAGTTTATCTAGGTAATTCTTATTAGAGAACTAGTCTTTGATGGGTTTTCGAGGGGTGGGGTGTGATTGTAACATACTGTTCTGATCCTTCATATTGTTCGGGTTTTGTGATAAGACCTGGACATATAGACTTTCATGATCAGTTATATGTCTGATGTGAGATTTTAGGCAGCTTCTGTGGTAGCAAGCTTGGTTTGGGGTTTGCTTGTGGGTTTTTGATTTTGGTTTCTGCTGTCATCCAAGCTTGATTGATTTCAATCAGTCCGTCATGAGTAGCAGGTAAGAAACTCCTTCAGTTGCTCAGGGGCAATTTTGATTGGAGGAAAGGGGATGATTCCAATTAAGAAGTGACCAAGAAAGCATGCAATGGGACCAAGGGTGGGAATCTATTTAGGCATTGGCACCTGAGTTCTGTCAGGGAATTAAGGATGGCACGGGTGGGGCCTTGGGCACATACTGTGCATATGAACTGTGAGACCAAAGTTAGTCTTAAGACTTGAGGATTGTGTGGACATGTAACATTCCTGGATGTCACCAGGCTGCACAGGAGCACAAATATACACCCCATTTCAATCTAGGTTAGAGGCTGGGTGGAGTGCAAGCTTCCTAGAGTCTTTGAGACTCACCAGACTGGACCAGTGCACAGGATGTGTGACTTGGGCTACATTTGAAATTGAATGTGGCATGGGTAGGCTAGCACCCAGTGATGTACCAGAAGGAACTGGAGCACAGGAAGTATGACCCTTGCTAGGTCCGGAGGTTGGATATGGTGCCAGGAAACTGGGGGAGGGGGGGGAGTCAGGGAGAAATAGGGTGAGGTGAACCCAGCAGCGTAGGCTGGTGTACAGGATGTGCTAGCAGGCCGGAGCCTGTAGGTTGGGAAAGGCACAGGAGGGGCTCATGAAACTGGCTGATGCACAAGATGTGAGACTGGCTAGGTCTGGTGATTTTGGAAGGTACAAGTGGGCTAGGATCAGACAGACTGAGCAGGCTGGGCTTGAACCTGCCTTGTGTATCAGTAATCTCCACCTCGGTCTGTAATGTCAGTGACAAAGCCTTGTCCTGTAGATGCATTCACCTCACTGCTCATCACAAGGGAGAATTCTGTTGATTCTGAGGAATAATAAGAAGCAGTTCACCTTTCTCCTATGAACAGGCAGGCTATGGTCAGCAGGGCCTGGAGAACCACAGGAACGTCAGGTGACCTCACCACCTCTGCTCAGCATCTTCTGCGTCAAAGAAGAAAGACCATGGCACATGCCCAGCACACAGCCCCATGCCCAACACTCCACTGCACCGTCAAACTGTGTTGTTAATGGGATAGTGAAGCCAGGCCATTACTGTACAGGATTTGGCTTCACAGACCCAGCTGGGGAGAGCCATTTTATAAAGGTTTCTTCTAGAACCCATCCGCCTACAGATCTGCCTGTCATGTTTATGGGAGGGAGTAGTGTGTCCTGGTCCCATTTGCTGTCTAGGCCTTTCCAGCCCTGCGTCCTAGCCTGCAGCCTTACACAGTGCATGTCTGAAGGAATTCTGTGTCCCTGAAAAGGTGACGCGGTGTTTATGCAGACAGACAGACAGACAGATGGGAACCTCCAGTGACCCCTCCTCTTCTCTCTGCCCATCAAGCCTGAACCTGAGCAACAGTGACATCTTGACCATCTATGACGGCGATGAGGTTGTGCCTCATGTCCTGGGCCAATACTTCGGCAACAGCAGTCCTCAGAAGCTGTACTCGTCCACACCGGACCTCACCATCCAGTTCCACTCGGACCCTGCCGGCCTCATCTTTGGCAAGGGCCAGGGATTTATCATGAACTATATAGGTAGGTATCCCAACCCTTCAGTCTCGTTTGTGTCGGAGGAAATGCACGGTGGTTTCCCGTGGGTACATCTGTGTGGATGCTGACTCTGTTACTGCGCCAGCATGGTTGTCATGTGTGGTTTTAGGAGGGTAGGCTCTCTAGTTATGAGGACCAGGGTTTATGTCCTAGCACCATGGTGGAAGGCTGTGTGACCTTCTCAGAGTCAGTGAGCCACTCTGAGCATCTCCTCACGTGTGTAAAGTGGAAATACTGAGTGTCTCAGTTGGGGTTCTACTGCTGTGAACAGAAGCCATGACCAAGATAACTCTCATAAGGACAACATTTCATTGGGGCTGGCTTACAGGTTCAGAGGTTCAGTCCATTATCATCCAGGCAGGCATGGTGCAGGAGGAGCTGAGAGTTCTACATCTTCATCTGAAGGCTGCTAGCAGAAGACTGACTTCCAGGCAGCTAGGATGAGGGTATTAAAGCTCACATCCACAGTGACACACCTACTCCAACGAGGCCACACCCACTCCAATAAGGCCACACCCACTCCAACGAGGCCACACCCACTCCAACGAGGCCACACCCACTCCAACGAGGCCACACC